AGCTGCTTCAGATTTTATCATCCCTATGAATGGTCGTTATTAGCAGTTACCTCTACCTACTTCTCAATGAATGGCTTCAGATCTTCCCTTCTACCTCCCACTAAGCTCAGTGGGTTGGTATCACTGAATTAATCCTAACGCTAAAGTAATTCCAGAATAAATGTATCTATTTATGTGAAATCTGAAAATAATTTAAGTAGTTCTTCATGTACTATAAAAAAGAAAAAAAATCGACCCACATGTCACAAACCAAAAGCAATTTATATCCTGTCAGCTGAGTTGTTTTTAATCAGCACATAAAATCTGCTTGAAATGCATAATTCATTCGAAAAAAAACTTCAAAATGTAGTTCTTTTTTTGAATAGGTAATTTTTTTTAAAAAAGTAGACAAAAAATATGAAGTAGCTCAATAAAACGTATGCCTTTAGACGTGACCCTAGTGCAGCTCTCTTACAAACAGGTGAGTGAAATTGTCCTTCAAAATCATTATCATTATTATTATTTTTTTTATATATATATAAAGTTTATTTACTGCATTTTATTGGGATGAAAACACTTAAGAAGCACGTTCAGAGAATTTTGGAAGAGAGAGACACTGGAAATATGAAAGGTGGAGAACATTGTTCCTCTGTTATTTTACTGTTAGATTTATACATCATAGTAGAAGTTTATGACACAGGAATAAATATTTTAACCTTTATTACTGCTAAGTTTTTGCAGAGACACATTTTAAAGTTTCTGCAGTGGATTTAATCTGCTGGTTCTGGTCCACTGGCTCGACCACAGGTGAAAAAAAGAGCTCACAACTGTAATAGAGTGCATAGGGTATTCACACTTTTCAGAAATCTTATATTCCTTTATAAAATATGCTTATTTTATGAATAGTAAAGTAATACTGCACTCGATATTGGGGGTTCGTCATCGCTAGGCACAAATGATCAAAATTTCAAGAAAATAATAATAATCTGAATGTCTTTCAAAAGTGTGTCGTAATTTTAAGATGCATCTATTCAGGTTTTCCCAGATTTGATGGTTGTTGGTTTGCAGCTCGGAGGACATGAGTTAGCTTCAGCTTTACCTCAGAGAAAAACAGTGGCAGACAGGAGGCACTAATGCTGATGAAGGAGCTGACAAAGTCAACATATCCAAGTTTTACCATTGATATTTAATCTTAAATTTTATTATTTAAAAAATAACGTTACATTTGAGCATTTTGATGTGTTTATATATAAAGTGAATTACAAATAGTATTTTTTTTCTTTTATAAATAATAAAACACTCAAAATCCTAATTTAATAATGTACAGTAGTGGTTCAAATGACGTATGCACCTGTTAAAGGTTGAACAAAAAATCATAGATGTCATCTGAAGCCTCTTCTATGTATTTTTCTACTACAACATACAGTAAAACTGATTCGAAGTTTTCTATCTAAGGAAAACCAGGTGATTGCATTGATTCATTGATTTAAAGGAAGTACTCACACTAAGCATGCTTGTAGTGACAGTAGAGAGGAAAAACTCCCTTATAACAGGAAGAAACCTCCAGCAGAACCAGGCCCAGTGTGAGCAGCCATCTGCCGAGGCTGACTGGGGTTCAAGGAGACAGAAGCAGAGATACAAAAGGCAACTGTCAACCAGCTCCACCCGTCCAGGAAACACACAGCCAGGCAGACGTGCTCCGAGCCAGCTCCCATGTCAGAGGATGAAGAGAGCACATTAGTTACAGTCAGAGAAACCGGACTACACACTGCAAAACATAGAAATCTCAATAAGTAATTTTTTCTTAAAATAAGTGCGTTTTTCCTTGAATTGAGGAGGTAAGTAAGACACTTTGCCAATGGAACAAGACAATTTCCTTTTAAAATAAGAAAAAAACAATTTTATCGTCTTATTTCCAGTAAATATTATCTAACTATCTTATTTTAAGAGTAAAAATACTCATTCCATTGGCAGATCATCTTATTTACCTGCTCAAATTAAGGGTAAATATACTTGATTTAAGAATTTTGTACTTATTTCAGGATTGTTTTTGCAGTGCACCAAATAAAAGGCCGAGCTTAAAGATCTATAAATAAAACAGATCCCCTGCAACACTCCCCAAATTGCAAACAAATTTCCATTCCTGCCCAAAACGTTTGCTGCTCCTTCTTTGACATCTTAGATCACTGCCTTAAAGAGTTACTGACAGCGAGTTATATGTTGACTGCTCAAAACCACCATACTGGATTTAATATCCTGCTTTTCACATAACCTGGACATCCCACACTAAAAGTAGTTTAAACTATAATATGTTACATTGACAACCATGTCAGTTGATTCTAAAATTAGATCAACATTGCCTCCAAAACTTAAAGACGAAGGGATGAACAGTTTTGATACAATATAAACTGAAAGGCAAAAAAAAAAAAAAAAAA